GTAATCATTTTATGTAGATTATAATTTATGATGATGCTACTTGTTACACACATAGTGACAAATCGATTCAACTCACAATAATTTCATTAATATTAACAGTAAGAAGCTGAAATTATAACACTATACTAATATAACATAAAGGCATGTAACAGAGTAGCTGCGAGATAATTATCCTCACTCCTTCTATTTTTTTTTACTTCCGCGTAAATCTCAGCGCGGCGTATATACCGGAGTTGCCCTACTGTATTTATATTCATCCATTTATTTCGTTTGCAAATGAACATCTGTAATAATGTTACAATTTACAATAATCTTACTTTTCAGAGAGCAACGTTAAAATGTCATCGTGGAAGAAAGCTGCGAAGATGAGCCAGAAAACTCATCGGGAACGTCATCAACCAGAGGCTCGCAAACACCTGGGGCTGTTAGAGAAAAAGAAAGACTACATTGCCAGAGCCAGGGACTTCCAGGAAAAGCGAGCGACAATCAAACTCCTAAGAAAGCGTGCACTGAATAAGAATCCAGATGAGTTTCATTTTCATATGATTAATTCCAAAGTGGTGAATGGCGTTCATCGAGAGAAGGACAAAGAGGATCAGCACACACCTGAACAAATCAAGCTAATGGAGACACAGGATCTCAGATATGTAGCATACAAGAGGAACATTGAGGCGAAAAAGATAGACAAGTTGCAGAGTCAGTTACATATGATTGATGCAGCCAACGAGACACAGAATCAGCATATCTTTTTCTTGGATGACGATGAGATGAAGAATTTTGACCTAGCCAAGAAATTGGATACACATCCAGCGCTTCTGTCCAGACGCACAAATCGGCCTACTTTAAGTGCAATCAAAAATATGAAGCTACCGGAATTAGATAACAAAACTATTGCTAAGTTTGAACAAAAGAAACATATGACTTATAAAGAACTCGAAAAGAGAATTGACAGGGAACGTGAACTGACGGTCGTGCAACAGAAGCTTGAAGTACGCAGAGCGCTGAAAGATAAGAAAGTCAGGAAACCGAAACTAGTGAAATCTGGCTCGAAGGATGCCGCTCCTATTTATAGATGGAGTTTTGAGAGAAAACGATAACTTATTTGTGTATTATAAAAATCGATTAGTATATCATATTAGTCAATTAATTGTGAATATTAAATAAAAATTTTTTTATACGCAACTTTCATTAATTTTTATATCAATCGTGTAATCGACGTCACTCGTTTAACATCTATCAGTTGATAATAAAAATTGGCATGTTTTGATAAAATAATTAATAAGTTATTTTATTAAAGAATAATTTAATAATAATAATGATGAAATTTATTTTTAATTTGTATTACTTATTAGTATTTATCTATTTATTATATTCATATAATAAAAAATATTTAGACAAAAAATAAAATATAAAAAAATATGTAATAAAACATCGCTGAAAAATCTTATTAGTATAATAATTTGGCCAAGTGCGTTACTCATTTAGTCTACTATCTTTGTTTATCTCGCTATCGTTTCGTAATTTTCATAAATTTATTCATCTTTTGTAATATTTTTAGTTATATCTTATGTTATATTTACGTTATATCTTATTAATTATTTCTTCCACTATTCCGCAGTTATTTTTCTCTTTGCAACAATCACAATTTCGATTGTCATTTAATCGGTATTATTTCTTCAAAAATTTCCGATATCTCGGTGATATCCTCCGCTTCTTCTGGCCTTCCGTTTGTTTCCGTGACATTCATTTCCGATGTTTGCACAATCGTTGATTCGCTCGATGTCGACTGTCTACTTTCTGCCGAAGATGTTTCTTCGATTGTCATGTCCGTCATTCTCATTGTGTCGTCAATGTCGTCAGTTGACATCATCGGCAATTCTGTTAATATACTTATGCAGTCGTAATTAATCTGCCAAAGTCGTTTCTTGGCGTAAATATCGAGGCGGGGGCAAGCCGTAATAGATCTGTATGGAAAGATCATATTTTTAAAAATTGTAGATTAAAACCGAATATTTAGAATTTAACTATTACTACTATTTTAGCTTCAACTGAGTGAAAATAAATCGTCTTATTGTGAAAATAATTACACAATAAGAATCTCAATTAAATTAGCTCAAAACAAATTTTGGATTTCATTGGTTGCAAATTTCTAAATATTTCTAGGCATAATAATTATCTTAACACATACGTAGCAGATTGGTTGAGTTCTAAAACGTTGATACATGCAGTCGAGAAAAGACAACCGGGAACAAACTCGCAAAACTGGAACGCCTGAAAATCTACAAAATAAGTCTGTAGAAACATAATGCTTACGCATAAAAATGTAATGATTCTCTTTAAATTATATATAGTATATTGCTATTGTCCTATAGCGTTTTTTATTGGCAGAACTAGTACGTACTCAGTGCACATTAAAACTGTTGTACACTATTCTAATCTAAATGTAAAAGTGAGGTATCTCAATTGATAAAATGCCCAATGTGTATTTTATCAAATAGCACAATAAAATGTATTGAATATTTCGCGGTTTTATTTATTTCTATGTTTTTATTAAAGGGTTACACCACCTTGACCGCCTAAAAATCATAGATAACTTTGGGAATTTTTTTAAGGAAAATAATGAAAATGATGAAAAAATTGTTTTAAGGCTTTTTATAGAACAAGTCTTTAGCTATAAAATTATATATTTTTCATCTCTTTTTTAATGGCGACACTAGAGCCATTGTATTGAATGTCATTTTGCTGCGACCGTTAAATCGGCATTGCGCGGATCTTTCGAAATATTGATTTTTACAAAAATGGCGAACCTTCGAAAAAAAAGTTTTATTTTTGGCTAAAAAATTTCGTCAAAGAAATGTTAATAAAAAAGAATTTTTTTAACATACCGTATGTATTTCTTTAGATTATACCAAAAAGAAGATTCTGTATAAATTTCAAGTAAATCGAATGAACAGTTTCAGAGATCCGCGCAACGCCGATTTAACGGTCACAGCAAAATGACATTCAGTACAATGGCTCTAGTGTCACCCTTTTTCATTAAAAAAGAGATGAAAAATATATAATTTTATAGCTAAAGACTTGTTTTATAAAAGCCTTAAAACAAATTTTTCATCACTTTCATTGTTTTCCTTAAAAAAATTATCAAAAGTTACCTATGATTTTTAGGCGGTCAAGGTGGTGTAACCACCCCTTAAACGTAGAGGAAAGTGATGCGTCGATTGTAATAGTAGAGAATCAAGTGTAACATTTGTAACATCCTAAGCAGAACAACAAGTCATTTTGATATCAAAATGACTCCAGAATGATCATTAAAAGTCATTTTTCAATCATTTCCGATTCATTTTAATGTCATTTTATCGTTATCGTGATTTAATTGTTGTTCTGCTTGACCGTAATAACTTTATCTATTGACGAAAGGCTGAATGACGTGCACGGTTGCATAGCTTTAACAGAAATAAGTTATTAACGAAGAACCGAGTGGGCGCACGTCAGTGCAAACTTATCAATACCTGTTTATTTGGAATCAATGTCAAATCGTAAATTTTATTATCCGCTGTTATTTTGTTTCAACTCGTCCCATAACAATTTGTCATAAAATCATATTATTTTATATGATCTATATATATATATATATATATATATATATATATATATCAAGTTTTACAATAAGGTATGTATCAATTAAGTTTATTACTTACATGTGAGTTTAATGGACATCTAATGGAAACAAACGGCGATGGTTGCAAAAGTAACTATCACAATGATTGATTGTAACATTATAATCGTATTATAGTTTGAATTATCAATTGTGAAAATGTAAGTATATCTCTTACGGAGAACATCAAGAAGATTAGTTACACACCCAAAAAAAAATAATTTTAATATTAGCAGAAACCGCTAAATTTTAGAGGATTTTATTCTTATATACGGCCTCAAGAGGAATCTTCTGAAATCGAGAGAAAAATATGCTAAGCACAATATTCTTACAGTTAGAGTACTTTCGTTTTGCATCTACAGTAAAAATCTTGCTGTTCCTAATATAATTTACTCGTAAGAGGGCACTCCGCTTTCAGTAAATATATTCCTCTTCATACAATAGGAAAATTGTTAGAATAATTTCCAATACATTTTTGATGAATAGTCCGGTGCATTGGAAGAGGAATACTCTTTCTGTAAAAGTTTCTGCTTAGAATATGAGGTTACCGGAAATTTCACTTTACAATTAGATTATCTTTTTTTGAGTGCAGTGCACAGAATGCAAAAAAATGGGCTAATTCAAGCTGCGCAGATAACAAATTTTTCATTTGTCTTAATTGTTTAAACGATTGAATATTTGATCATTAACAACAGTTATTTTTATTTACAATGTTTGAGATCTCACGGTTATTACTTTTCTGTTTTTTTTTTCATGTTGCTTAATGTTCATTAGTATAATGTTAATGTGTTACAATTGACACCCTGAGGTGATACAATTTACACCACCGTAGTGTCAATAGTAACAAGTTGCGGCGATGTCTTTAATGGTGAATATTTTTTAGAATTTGTTGTTTTTCTATCTTTATAATTATTAATTTTAATATCTATTATGTTATAATCAACCCCAAAGAAGTCCCTTTTCACATAAAATTAAGATTTCCTATAATAAAAAAACTAGTTAGTAAAAATCTTTTTTTTATTATAACTGATATCACTCTCCCCTACATCTTTATGTCGATTTGTATACAATGGCTTTAAAGTGCACTGAATGCGCACTAGTTCTGTCAATGAAAAACGTTATTAAATTCACATTTTCAAATACTTATAGATTCGCATAGATCAAAGTTGAAAATATTAACTCGTGACTGTTCTGGTACTGATTCTGTCCGAACTCAATGTGACATCCACGTTCAGTCCGTTTCCCTGATATGTGAAATTGACACATACTACAACATAAGAGACCTATAGTAATTCAATTTTTTATTTATGTTAAATATTAAGCCGAATTTAGACTCACAATTTTTCCGCTCTTTAGTATACAGGATCATCACGCTTTGACAACAAGAACAGGAGAAAGACGTGGAGCAGTTGCATGATTGTCGCGTAATCGAGATTGTTCTATAAATCAGGAATCCTCTTGATATGCCGGTATCTAATAAATGTTTTCTTATTTAGTTTTATAAATAAAAAAAATGTAATATATATAATATATAATAAAATAAATCCAAACACGCATAAAAAAATTATATAATGGATGAGAAGCTAGCACCATTTTTTTAGATAATTTTACAAATTGCTGGAAAATCGCGCGGTCGAAATAAAATTTTCTCATCTGATATATTATGATTAAAAGTTAAAATAATTGCACCGACTTGTATTAACGGAGATAATTTCGCGAAGGAGACACAACCAGATAAAGACGAGAGCACCAATGCTACGCGCAAATCCATATTTACACATTACGTTAATTATGACAAACACACGCGTAATTATCTACTCATTAACGAGTTCCAGTGACGGCTCGTTTTAGACTAAACGCTTTCTGCCTTTCACATTCCGTTCGCCGTGTATACAGGATGCTATCACAAGCTATTGTATTGTGAGCCTTTAGAAAATGTCCGGAACGTTTTTGTCCACCTGAATTATATAGCGTAAAATTTACCATTATACTCTTGTAGGGAGCATTTATTGTTCCCTACATGTCCCTTTTATATACGATATAAAATAATGCACACTCTTATAACAAGGGTATACTGCACATCAAATTACAAATGTACACATACATCGTTTCTCCCACATTATTTGATATTTGAATAATATTTAAAATTTAAATAAAAAGAATGTATTATATTATGTAATATTTTGTAAACGGAAATATAACGTAAATTGAAAGGATAGCATGCGTTTCTTCTTTCTTACAATAAAACATTAAGCTTACATGATTTTCTAAGAATGTATACAATCATTTATTAAAACAATGTTAAATGAAATGAATTGGCCGAGAAATTAACAATTCGATCAAGACAGGTCTTAGTGCTTAATAGTATTTTTATAAAAATTTTATTAGACACCAAAACCAGTCTTAATAAAATACGATCTTTTTCGCTTAATTGTATTTATTAAAATATAATAATAATAAATACACATACATGGCACATAATTCATACTATCATTATCCGTTAAAAAAAATGTTTAGTATATATCGTCGTCGTCGTCATCGTCATCGTCATCGTCATCCTCGTCATCGTCGTAGTCATCATTATCATCCACATCTTCCGGAAAAAGTTCCACTTGACCCAAACCACCTCCGTCTTCTGGTTTTAACAGAGCTAATCCGTTTGAACCGAATCTAAGACAATCTAAATTAATCTGTGGAAATAGACGAGATTGACAAAATTATATAAGCCATTTATGATCGACATATCATTTATATTACGTTAAAATATGCAAATTTTTTATCTGCATTTGTTAGATCTGAAAATTTGTATATAGCATGAATAATATTCTTCAGGTAATGAATTTTCAAATCTGACCTTAAACAGTGTAGTATCCTGGAACTTTCCTTCCATGTTGAGACACAGATGAATATTTCTGCCTTGAAAATATATATTATAAAATCGGACGCACGCTCTGATCGGTAGTCGTGGGACAGGAACACATATCGGTCTAGGATTCTTTCCTATAATAACAAGACAAAATAAGAAAATATAATAAATATAGACGTATGAAATTTATTTTTCTTTTATATATAAATTATTTCAAAATTAATTGATTATTGGTTTATATTCTATACGTATTCGCTTACCAGAAACAGTTCTCGTGTAAAGAATTCTGTCGTTCATCATGATATTCGCGGTGAAGCTGAACTCGTCAGGATCATACGTGATGTTCACGCAAGCTTTTTGTTTCCACGTATTGTATAGAATTCTTGAACAACATGAACAGACACCACCGTTACACTGACAAGGTCTATTTATGGTGACCGTGTCATTTTCCGATGCTGATGAATTTGAGACCTGCCTCAAGAGTATCTTCACTTGCTCCAGACCTTCTCGCGATTTTGAGAGATCTTCGAGCTCATTATTAATAATTTTTTTGGTCGTAAAACTTTCGTCGGCCCTTAATTCTGGCACTAAGCATGATTGCACGAGAACAATGATCAACCAGCAGGCGGCATTCATCTTGCGTTCTTGATCTTGTCTGGCGTTCAATGGAAACAAGAGGACATCTCCTCGAGATGTGCCTCCTTGCTGGGCGATTGAAACTCGACTGGCCGGTTAACGGACACTTATACTGACCCAGTTTTACGGTGAAATTTAGGCTTGGCTTGCTCGTCCGCATTTTATTATTGACTAGAACTCGAAGAAGCAACAGGATTCTGTGGAAGTGCTGTCATCTCATATATCTTTTGATCGTTAAATATAGTAGAAATCAAAATTTATGTATAATAAAATGTAACTATTTGTTGAGAATTAAATTGATACCATTCGCCATTGATATTGATAATGCTAAGTTTTTGAAGATATTGTCTGTAATTGAAGCAAAAACTATACATATTTAACGAAGGAAAGAAATGTAGTATAATTTGTAACAGTTGATACTTACATGCACTTAATGTTTTTCAAAATAATAAGACAAATTTAAATATATATAGTTGTAATATATATTTTATATACATTATGTACATATATGTATGCCTTTACATCACACATGAATACATATATATATCACATATATTATTTTATGATGATAAATCAAATATATTAACTATAATACATAATAAATACATTTATAACATTATAATAACGTCTTATATATACGTAATTTTGTAATTATGACATGTAATTATCATATCTTTAATTGACCGATATTATCTTCCTCCTCGGGAGTCATATTTGAAGTATGATTGTTTGGAAAGCCAACAGAACTTGGTTCGAAGTCCACTGGATCGTATATTTCTGGTCCGTTCACTTCTGGTTTGATCACTGTCGGTTGAGGAATACTACTGTTGTCATCGGGCTTTAGCCAAGAAATTCCGTCTGCGCCAATCTTTACGCAATCAAAGTGCAAAACCAAGATTGGCCACGATATCACATATGCCTCTAAATCAATGCACGCATGCAGATTTCTACCGGACAAGTAGATATCGAAGACACGTATGCAGAAGGATACGAAGGGTGGATAGACAGGCACGCAGAATGGTATTTGAACTTTACCTGTGAATTAATTTATTACATTATGCAATAAATGTATACAAATTTAACGGATATAAATCTACATAATTAGTTGAAAGCTTGTTAATAATAAATTTTGCGAAAAATTTACATTCACCAAGTCATACTCACCAGAGATAGAATCTTTGGTATTAAGAAGTTCTCTTTCATTTACTATAAGTTTGAGATTCATGGCAAGGTCCTTAGGATAAAAGGTAATATTAGTGCAGACATGATGGTCAATATTAAATCTAGTTATATTGATGCCACTACAACAGCTACATATACGATCTTCACAGCTGCAGTTTGCTCCACGGAAACCAATCCCAGAAAAAGAATCACGACCGACATATTCCAATGCGCCTTTCAATGCTAAACGTGTGTTCGGATTGTAGAATATACTAAAATTATCTGAAAAAACAATTTGTGAAAAGTATATTAAAACACATATAGAAAAAATGTGCTAATAAAAAATTACAATTTTTCTTTTTCTTATAAAATGATAATTTATAAAGATAATTAAAAAAAAATTTTATCTAAAAAGGGAAACAATATTAAATGTAATTTTTTATTAGTTGTGCATTTTGTGTTTAATTCGTACATTTTTATGTAACAATAATTATATTTACTCCTATTATAATAATCACGCTAATATCTGTTGCAATATAATTGTATATTTGTAGCGTATTATAATAAAAAATAATTTTTATTTATAATTTTGTGCTATAATTATAAATATAAGTATTTTTTATACCATTTAAATAGAAGTTTCACATATCTTTCGTAAGCGCTGTTTTTTTATCAACTATAAAATATTAATTAAATTAAGTAAAAAAATATTTATTAATTAAGCTGTTTCTCACCAATTTGATTGATGTAATTGTTCACAGAGGTATTCTGGACACCTAATACCAGTAGAGATACAAGCAGCCACTTAATTAACATGATGGCACTACTGCACAACCGGCACGCTTCAATGCTAATGAAAGACTGAAATTGGGCACACGTTGGATCAAGACGCAGAGACACCTGTTCATTAATTATGCATCAACTTTCAATAGTAGTAAAATAAGAATGCTCAATTGTCACACTTGAGTGATGATTTACGATGCAAAAAGCAATCAAAGACAAAGACATAAACACACTTTTATTTTTAATAAAAATTTAAGTTTTAGGTAATTATTAAACCTGAGGGAACTCTCTCACTAACTCAAAAATTTGAAATTTTGCAAAAAGGATGCATGTACTGCACGGAAATCAAATTTACATAGATGTTTTTCATTTTGACGATAAAATGGTTTTAAGGATGCAAGTACCTCTCTAACAAAACTTGACTTTTCATATTTTTACTTATTATATGTATTTTTAAAATCACGAAGGACATTGAGAAAATTAACTCTTAATTTAACAATAAAGATAAAATTAATTATTAATTAATTCTTAATTTAATGCAATATTATTCAAAATGGTAACCTAACAAGCAGCAATTCGAGCTCTCATTTACGTAACAAAATTTAAGATTTCATTTCACATGATTTAAGAAAATATTAAAAGATAAGAGTCCGCTTGTCTCCGCGTATGTTATTATCATGCTTGATTATTAAAATCTGTTCGTGTGTCTACTAGTATACAACTCTTATCTTTAATGTTGTCGTATATATTAAGCAGTGTCAAATAATCATAACTTTTTCTGTTGCGCAACACGAGAGCTTAAATCCTTAAATCATTGCATGATGAAAAATATTATCATTTGTAAAAAACTACACTCAGCTGTATAAAACTATTGACAATTTTAGAAAAACTTTTCTGAAATATATCGTGTCTCAAAAATCTCATAAAATAATTAAAAGTATTAATTAAAATTTTGCGCTAAAAGTACTAACATGTTTTTATAATAATTAATTATTATAATATTATCCTTTCAAAATTTTCTGACAGAATTAACTTTAATTATTAAAAAAATATATTAAATGTTTTTATACAAAATTTTAATAATTTAAATAAATTTAAATTAGTATTCCATTTAGTTAATTTAAATTTAATTATAATAAAAATTCAATAATTAAAAACTAAATTAATAATTATATATGTGAAAGGTACATGGTATATACATATACAGCGCATTATATTTATTTATTTATTACAGAGTCAATAAATAACTTAATAAATACATAAATCATAAATATTCATTTGCTCTTAATAAATAACGTTAATCTAATCGAGCAAATTATTATGGCTGAGGTCACGAATAATTCGAGATATATTATATATATGTATAAGTCTTCCTTACAAACAGAAAATTCTCTGCATTAAAATAAAATAAAATCCTCCTAGGATTTTGTTTCCGATAAATAAATATTTTCTATTTACGCAATTCTATTTGAGCCTTCTCTTAAGAAAGCTCTTCCATCTTCGCTGTAAGATCTCGTATCTCAGTCTCCATATTATTCAATAAATAAAAAATTAACTACATTAAGAAATAAGGTAATTGTGATAGCGAAGTAAACTGCTGATTTTCCAACAATCCAGTTATTGTAAAATAACAGCTGTAATTGTTAATGAACTTTTTTTACAATTATTGTAATTAGAAGATAATGAAATAATTAGGATGTCGTAGAAACACGCATCCGTTTTTAGCGAAATTGCATGTCAAGAAACGTTGACTCTTCTAATCTTATCATCACTGTCACAATTATACCAAAATCTACCGAATCTTCGCTAATCCAAACAAAACATCTTGAGTTTTGTTAGATCGACGAACTCATAGCCAGATAAGAAGGACGAGCTTTCTTTAATTTCCAATTATCCTACTGACTGGAACAACGATCTGTACACTTCAAAGCCTCATAACTTTGCTTTGACGATCTCCGCTGAAATGCCTCTTCCTGGCAAGAAATCCCAATCCAAAGCCGTAATCCTCATCATCATGCTCGACATTAGTTTCATTAGACTTTGTATTTTCTTTGCTCTTCTTCTTTTTACCGCCAGTATCTATAAGAGCACTCAACATGGCATCTTCCTCCTCGTCATCATCGTCATCGTCATCTAAATCGGCAAGATCCTCAGTCTTTTCGTCCTCGTCATCGTCGTCGTGCTCTTCATGCTTTTCATCATCATCCAGTTTGTCGTCGTTCTCTTCATCTTCGTCTTCGTCTTCATCATCCTTATCATCGTCTTCAAGACTATCATCCTCGTCATCGAGGTCTTCATCATCATCATCATCATCATCTAAAATATCGTCATCGTCATCGTCATCATCCTCATCCTTAATAGGTTTCTTCGCTGGTTTCCCAGGATCATGAATAGCGTTTACGCTGGTCGATGTCACCGTTGGTTTCTTCTTGTCTCCAACGACTCCCTTCTTCACTTTATTGACAGTCGGCACTTTATCAGGTTTCGCGATGTACACGATTTTGTTGGAGGATTCCGTGATTTGTTCATTATTCTCATCAGTGCTGTCTTCGGTATTACTCTCGGTCAATCCTGTGTCTTCTTCTTCTTCTTCTTCTTCTGCTTTGAATGGTTCCTGAGTGCTGTCGTGGTCCTCGTAGTTAGTTTCCTGCTCGTTGTTGATGGGCAGCTCATGATCCTCCAATGATGCGGGAGTCGTTGGCCGCGGTAAAATTGGTATAGTGAATTCCAATAACGGTGCCGCGGTAGTAACTTTAGGTCTTGTCGGCACATCGTCATCGCCAGTAAAGATATCCAATAGAGCACTGAAACCTAACGGATCGTCATCGTCATCATCATCATCTGATTCTTGTGCATCAACTTCCGAGCCATCGGGAACGGTGTTCGTGATAGGTCTTTCATCATCTTCATCATCTTCGTCATCATCTGAACCTAGCCCAAAAAAATCATCATCGTCTTCTTCTTCTGAAGCAGCATCTGTCTCGACAGTTGGAAGTGGTTCGGCTGGTCGAAGCTTCAGACCGTCTGGACCGAATCTGAAATTCAAGATCGAATTACGAAACACTATTTTCCACACAATATAGTTCTCTAAGGAATAGAACGTTTAAGATAAAGAAGGTGCCTCAGAGAGCTGTATTGTGTGGAATATTTTAATAAATAATTTACATAGTAAATCTTTTTATCTTTTTTTTCTTTAAGAATTTTTCTTGTATCTCGTAAAGGAGAAAGAAAATTCAAATTTATGTTACTATATTTTTTTTTCATTGTAAGTACCTGAAACAACTGACACGAAGAGTAGCTTCTAACTCGGTAGGGGATTGCAGTTCCAAACCGAGGCACGCTTTAAAGTGATTCTTCGCGTCGCGTTGGATGGAATAAATTCTGCCACAAAATTTGGTGAAGCCACCAGGTAGTGGTACGCACACAGGCTTCGGACTCTTTCCTGAAATTTGTAATATTCGATGCACATACAAGTCGAACTTTATATATTATAATTCTTTCAAAATCTTTCATCGAAATTTCGAAATAATGTACATTTAATAAATAAAAAAAATAAAATATATTAAAACAATTTCATTAAAATATAGGTATTACTGAAGGTGTCAGATACTTATATTATCTGTATGTCATGATATCTAGAACCTGTTCAAACAAATTGAGGTCGTCAAACGCGATTAAAAAAGAAGATAAACACACTCGACGTCGAAAAACCGTTTGTGTAAATACTTTCGCTCCGCTAGACTGACACGAATTCATCGAGTGGCGCCTGTACGTCACTATTGACTTCGTAATACATTTTTTCATGAACGCACATACCGGAGAAATCACGTACGGAACTAGCACGATAATATGAAATTTAACTAGTATAACGAAGCAAAAGTATTTTTTTTATGTAGTATCGCATAGTTTCACATTCTTTAAAAGGAAGTAAAAGTTTCAAATGCCATGTATGCCACGCGTTCTATCGACAAATTCCAATGACAATGACAAACATACTGCCGGGTGAAAGTCGAGTTATAGCTTCCTGGACATTACGTTAATATATATCTACCAAACGTTGATTCACTCGCAATTAACACACTTTTCTTGTCAATATTGTCGAGCGGTACACGTGCATGATTTAGTCTTTTGCGAGACACGTGACATAAATTGTTCATCAAATAAAGAGATATATGCTCTCAACGTCTATCAAGCTTAGTTTTTTCATAATTTATAACTGTATTGTTTCAAATCAACAGAATCATGCGAATGAAAAGAAATCTTATTGTATTTCATATTAGAAATTTTCTATAATTATTCAATATTATTTTTTGTTTTGTTTCTTTCGTTTTGTAATATCACGTTAAAATTACGTTTTCGGACTCTGCCATTTATTTAAATTTTCTCTATAATAAATAATTCACAGGAGATGTTGATTAATCAGAGAAAGTGGCAGAGAGAAAGAACTGTTAATCGTCATCGTTACGAACAATGAATGTGATTACCATTAACAATTGTGCTAGTTAATATGTTGTCGCCAAAGCTCAGTTGGACTGCTAAATTGTCACCCTGAAGATACTGCAATGAAGCGCATCCTAGAATTTCAAATACAGAAATTCTTTCTCATCAGAAAAAATATTATTTATAAAAAATACATATAATAAGTTTTATTATGAAGAATTGCAGAAAAATTGCAGAATTATATTTTATTATGAAAAAATACAGAATTAAATTCTATTTTATGTCAAATATAATAACATAAAATAGGGTAACTCCGGCAAATACGCCGCGCTGAGATTTACGCCGCAGAAGTCAGGAAAAATAAAAAAAGTTGGGGTAATTTTCCTGTAACTACTCTGTTACATGCCTTTGTGTTATATTAGTATAGTGTTATAATTTCAGTTTCTTATTAGAAGTCAGGAAAAATAAAAAAAGTTGGGGTAATTTTCCTGTAACTACTCTGTTACATGCCTTTATGTTATATTAGTATAGTGTTATAATTTCAGTTTCTTACTGTTAATATTAATGAAATTATTGTGAGTTGAATCGATTTGTCAGTGTAATAAGTAACATCATTATAAACCATAATTTACATACAATGATTACTGTAGAGCGCGTAAAATACCTATAGTGGTTATTTCGTGATACATAAGTGTAGAAGAATAGTAAAGCACGTTGTATAGCAAAATACAAGTGCTTTGCTCTTGTATACTTTGTTTAGTTTATTATTTGGTATGTTCTATCTGTTTGAGATATACAGCATTTTTAGCGGGCGGAATTTATCCTCAAAGCATACAAAGTGCTCAGATTGGATTCAGTGCACTAAATGCAACAAACACATTACATGAAAGATGTATCTCATGTAGTAACACTTGTAGTATATTATGTAGGAAGATTGTAATTATTATCTATTACTTCATATACATATTTATCATTCTTATTTCTTAATAAAACTTTGTAAACATTTTTAGTTATCATGTCATTTTAAGTTTTATTTGTAAGCATTATTTATAAATTTTTCATGAGCCGTAACATACTCCCCTCCCCCTATGAGTAGCTATATATATCCCATCCCTATGGGATATACGGTAAAAATCCAAGAATTTCAAAAAGTTCTTTTTTTAATACGAAAAATAAGTATTCCGGATTTTTAATATTGTTTTCATAGTAATAGACAATACAAAGTTTTTACTGATATAGTTCATTTATCTTAAAAATAGTAAAAATACTTCATAAATTATTTTGTTAGGTGCAGCGTATATACCAGAGTTACCCTATATAACGTACAATATACGATATAGAATGGTACTACAGATAACAAACTCATTAAAATTTAAGTGCGGTATGGGAACGCAAGTATATAATCATATACTTGCCTTTCCATAGTACACTTTCATTTTTCGTGCACAATTACATTGCGTGATAATTACCCGGTCCTTTCAGCTGGACAAGCGGTATGTGAAAGTCCCGACAGCAATTGCAAATGTTCTCGTTGCAGGTGCAGTATCGATTTACACTATCGGTCGCTTGTTTTAGCGACATCATTGATAAATCTATGTCACTCTGTTTCACATTATTCGCGGCACGAGCCACCCGATGCGTCGCCTCATTGTGATCTGTGAACATTTTGTAATTTAAAGCCGTTTTAAACCTACAAAATTCGTATCAAAATTCAGAAATCCTATTTATAATTTTATGTGGCGTGGAGTACGAGCAAAATTTAAAAGTATACACATAAAATGTATATTAAAAAATACATACGTGCAATAAAATATACATATATAGTTTTAAATAGGAAATTTTGAAATCCTGAAATCTTTTAATTTAAGACAGTATAAAATGAGCTTTAAATAAGATGATTACCGCACGGAGAAAATTTTATATTTAAAATTACTATGATGTGGTAGTAGCTGCGGTCTTCATGTAAATTATAAGTTTAAATGCTATAATTATTTTTTTAAAAACAATAATACTACGTAATTTTTACACTTTTTTTATATAGTAAATTTTATAGTAAATTTTTTATTACAAAATAAAATCTTGTTGAATGAAAGTTAGTATTGTAAAAATAAGTAAAAAATATATACCTAGCAAAGTTTGTTTGCGTACCATAGTAAAAATTAACTTTTCATGTTAGAATATAGCTTAACAAAATAATTACTTTATTTATGTGATAAAAATTAGTATTACCATAGTAAAAGTTAAGTCGGAATTATGTTGTGAGGGTGCATACGAAAATTCAAAACATAGTAAAGTGTAATTTAAACTTATATTAAAACTTAATATAAATTTTTCTCCGTGCGCTTATCTTTATATACATTCATATGCGAAATAAAATCTGTATAAAAATTTTCTATGTTTTCAAAATTTTTATTTTTGCTCTTCTATTAGAGGAAGGTCACCGATACCACTTTGTTTTTAGACAATATTTCTTAAACAAAAGGTAAAAATACAACTTCAAAAACAATACAAAGTAAAAAGTGTCTTCTATCAGATAGTATAAGCAATTTTTATAATACTGTTTGTAATTTTGCAATAATTAAGTTTTTCGTAAGTTATACAAAAATGAGCGTCTGACAAAAGCGTCTCCAAAACTGACACAGTAGGCAGTAATGCTACGTATTCCTATTCTTTTTCTTTTACAGGAATTATCTGTATAAAGTATTTATAAGTGAATGTATATAAGATTTTTCAGAATCATTTTACTTCGTTATAAAACATTTTTATTGAATTATATGCATATTTACTTTATGCTGTTCTGTCTGCAAATATGTAACGCGATAGTTTTTCTAGAGTTGTTCCATATATGCACGATTGCCTTCAGCTCCAATAGACTTATTTGACACTATAAAGCAACATTATAAAGATTAAGTTAGCTCATGGTCTGTTTTACGGACAGGTGTGTCAGTTAAAACTACACCCCAATTTTAAATTAAAAATCGTATTATGAAAAGACTAAGAGAAAAAATAATATAAATAAAACTTATTTTGGAAACTACAAGTATTTAAAATGACGTAATATTATCAATAATATAGTCACTATTATTTAAACCTCACAATTTGCAAAAGAAAATCGTAAGAATTTTATTTTCGCATTTGTAGAATTCGTTTTTAGCTGATTTGATATAGAAACAAGCCACAAACCTACGAATTATGAGTTCGTACTTCTTTAATTAGCTAAACAGATCATGATTTTATTAGTATTAATAAAGTGCAATAGTTAGTTTCCGAAAAATAAGGGGGTATTTTTTACTTGAGGAGACCTATGTCAGTATCGGCGACTTTCCTCCATTATTTTTTTTTTCTTAAAGCTGTTTCTCTCACCAATTACTCGGCCATAAGCGGCAAAGGCCACCAACAAGAGGATCAGCAACAGCTCAAAAATCGTCGATAATCGCATCTTTCCACTCTGTTCTGGAAACAATGCCAAGAACACGTGATGCGGTTATAATATTACTGTGAAAAATACCCATTTTATATGTAGTGGCACGCACGTTCCAGTCTTATTACAGTTTCTTTCGGCTGATTCTGATAAAAAGGCACGACAATAAGAACCGTAAAAGATAGATTTTACGCACGTGCCGTAATTCTAAATTAGCATGACGAATGTCATTTTGTAGTTTTATACCTGCTTTATATAGTATATTTTCCTATTATATAATAAAATTATTTTCAAAGATTAAATTTTTTTAATAGATAATAATCAGTATATCTCATTTTATCACTAATCAATAAAATAAAATATTTACACATATTTAAATTATTATAACTGCAAAATTTTTTTAAAAGCCGTTCAATTAATTAAGAATTTCCAAAACTTTTAGGTCTTCTTTGACATAATTTTAGTAAAACATCTAGATACCTATATTTTACATACAATTACTAAACTTTTTCTCGTTTCGTTGATTAAGCAACTTTTGAGATCACACTGATCAATTTTACGCAGTGTGCATTTAGCTTACCATGCACAAAGATCACATTAAAAAAAAAAGAGTACGTTAAAAGTGTTTCTTTTCTCATAATTATTTCTCCCGCCTTCCGATGATTATCCCATAACCCTCGTCAGCAAACAATAGAGACACTCGTTCCGCTCATCAATTGTTGAGGTAGAGCGGTAATTTCATACTTCTCTACTTCCTGATTCATAAAAATATCTCTACCAGAATCACCGCGATACTTTTATCTTTCAAATAAACAACCGGACAAAACGTCCCAGACGCGGAAAACGTATTCTCCTTCCGGTTTTAAACACGAGTTACTAGCGACCGGTTGACCCAAATCCCGGTCACGGTCAAAGGCGTGTGTATAAGAAAGGCGCTTACTCGAAAGACTCGATGGCAGACTTTAGTAGCACGAGGAGATGTGTAGCTTTACGCGCGGAACAAACACTCGTGTCACCGTTATAAAGTGCGTTACATATGGTCAAGGTGTTGGATACGATCAACACTACGTTTTGACACATCGTATGTGAGATCGATTCCTCACGCGTCGCTTCGTACGGAGACCAAATCGCGGAAGTGATAGTGCGAGAAGTTTAATTGAGCGCAAACGGTGATCTGTAAAATGATTTCTATATATTCTCGCTTCATAAATCTACACTTGTCAAGATAGTAGATAGATAATAAATATTCATTAATCTTAAGCAAGATAATAAATATTATAAATAAAGAATGCATTCATATTATTATAACATAATTATGTAATAATAATATGTGAATCTTGATTGTACACTATTTAAATTTAATGGCGGATGATAATTTCCAAATAATTTAATGTATCAAATAAAACTCTTGTCAATTTCATATAATACATAATAAAGAAGCAAGATCATGAAATGTTCGTTAATTTAATTTTATATATAAGCTCTATTTTATTAATTAATATTTACGGACATGTAATTCTACTAAACGTATAGAAGCTACATACAGAAGATATATATTATTCTATAAGAATTATTTAAAGAATTATTTTAAAAATTATCCACACGTGAGCGATTCTTCAATGAATGAGACTTCTCGTTTTTATCGCGGCACGTTTCCCAATTTCCCAGACCCTCCAAATGCACAAATTGTAACTTTACTCACCTGTGGGTTGTTGAAAAGAAATCCGAGGAGGCAGCCGTGCTCGTGCTCTCCTGTCTCCTGCACCCTACAGCTCTTTTTCCCTGACTCTTCGTCTTACGGAGGCCAATGTCCAACTGAAGATGCCGCCTAACTCCCCCCAAGGTTTCTTTAAAAGTCGGTCAGGCCACCACCACCTGTCCGCCAAGCCGCTGTTAGGATTATTAAACATTCTAATGTGCTCTAGGTAAATCAGAGGCGGCCCCTAACCAACCACGTTGTTCCGATCCTCTGTCGTCCTTCATCGGACTACGACGGTGTTGCCGTTGTCTCGACGACGAAAGCGGGAAGTCCACTTTTCCATCTCTCCTCGAACCGGTACCAGATGCCCAGATGTACACAGATGAATGAAGATGGTTCCGGATGATTCAACTCAGACGAAAATATCCATAGGAGAGGGGAAAGTCACGTTGGTGACGTCCAACGTCCTTTAATTGCGTCCGGATTCCGACAGAAAAAGCGACAAGTCGCCCCGGGGATAATCTTCGCGATATGCTTATCTGAATTTGTTTAGGTTATTATAAAAAGTTGAATGGCATATGGGGTATTCCAAATTAATATTATAAGATGGTATACATGACAGAAATTACATATACGATTAATTCGATTTTATAAACATTACAGTTATCATTAATTTACAGTCATCATAATAATGTGACCTACTATTATATTTTCTACCAACGAAACTATATCGATGACTCGCAATGCATTTACGATTAGCGTAAGTGACATCAATTCTTTATTCACATTGCACATACTAATTGTTTTGACATTTATATCATTGTTTCATGCACACAGTTCTTAATAACCAATAAATCAGCTCTTTGAAATTTGTCTGATAACTATAATTGGCAAGATAATCACTTCAAGAGTACTTCAACCAAATAAAAAATCTAACATAAATAAAGTTGATTTTCTTTTTATAATTTTTTTTTTAATTTTTGTTTTCTTTAATGCTTTTTATTGTAGTTAAAATAAAATTGTAGGTATTAGAAATATATAATACAAGTAAAAAAATTTTATATAAACACCTGTATAATTATACATATAATATGTATGTGTATATATATTTATACAATATATATGTAATATATAAATTAAAATTTTTCTTATTCTGAACCCACACAGCAAATGTATCAAAAATATATCTTAGAGATATCTTAAAGATATATTTGGGATATGTGATATTTTTAGGTAATCCACACAGCAAATGTATCAAAAATATATCTTAGAGATATCTTAAAGATATATTTGGGATATATGATATTTTTAGAATATCTGTCTGATGTATTTCGGAAATTTTTGCTGTGTGGGAAGAAAACTGGTAACTTTATCCTCAAAGAAAATTAAAAATAAGTAGCATTGAGAATTAATATCATTAATCGAATTATTTTCATTTTTCTAAATATTTTCTAACTTTGAGTGCAGACACTATCAGTCGACGCCATAAACTCGTGCCAGCCGTGAATACCACAGTTTGTGACACAAATTCTAACCGAAGACCCACTTTCGTGCGCGTCCAGTCTCTCGCGGGAATTTCGTCGCCGTATGAGAGAAGAAAGAAAAGAAAAATATCCGGAACGCAACGAACGACACGAGTGCAGTACGAAATTAATACAGGTGCTCGCTCGTACGTTCATACATTTGTCCATTTGTTCGTACGTTCCTTCGTCTTCAATCGATTCACGGAATCATGTTTTGGCTAAGGAGGGGCCTTTCTCCGGTTAGTGGGTCGAAGAAAGTAGTGGTTCACCAAGAGTGGTTTACCTTGGTTAATATTTGTTCGTTTGTTCTCCAATGCCCCAGGTCCTCGATAGCGATGGCATCAAACTTATCGCGAGTAATGGTTTATTAGATATTTCACCTTTTTAAGTGCTTCAAGAAATAATAGCATATAATAAGGAAGAGAAGTTGAAATTCTAATAAAGATAATTATAGCAGAGAGATTTTTAATCCTAATTTTTAAACGTACTTCAAGCGTCAAACAAAGCTTTAGTACGACAATAAATTATTTATAAATACATAATAAATACTTCGATAAAAACTGCTCGTATGTTTTAAAAGCCAGAAGAAATGTACAGGTTTAATGATAGGATTGTGCAAAAGTTACCAAAATGCATCGCTCTGTTTGATCCCATCGCTACCCGGGCTATCTCGAATATGATAACTCGATCTTCGGGGATTCCTAAGCTGATGAACGAGGCGTATGACCCGGAAATATGTAGGCCCCGATTAAACGAGAGGCAAACAAGTTTTTACGTAACGTCGTGGAATAATCGTTTGGATGCAACGTATCTCCGCGTTCTCTTCGCGGTTGTATCGCGTTGCAGAAAAGAAAAAAAGGGAAAAAAGGATTGTGGGCGGTTTCCGACAAGTGCAATCGCGCTTATCGGCGATTAGATTCGCGATTAAGGTGGAGTAATCGCGTATCCGTGACATTGACGTCTTACGATATTGACGGCACAACACTATTATTTGTGCAATTATCTAACCGCCGATCGTTTCCGCGGCGACGATCGATGACAGAGCAGATTATGAGCAAATTGCTTCCGATCGTTCCCTCTTCTGATGTAATTCTATAGGCTGGAAGAGAAATCGATTTTTTTTATTGAGATCTATTTTCGAAATTGATCGTAATCTACATTTCGCGACCTCGTCTCTCTCAGCTTCATCAAATGCCGTCCGACACATTTTGCGCATTTCTAACGCAAAAAGATAAATTTTACAGACAAATAGAGAAAGTCACATTTCTGCTATTATAATGAATGGTCTATTTCAGAAAGGAATGTTCCCCTTCGAAGGAGAATGTCTTTTCACTTGGCCCAGTCCACGGTCACATATTTCGCTCCGTTTCCCATCTCTCATAGTCACGCGTGGCCAACTGCGCCCACACTCCAAAAAAATGAAAGATATCAGGAACGCGACGCGCTGTGCAATCCATAGAACGGAATCGTAAGTGATTCTGCAGTTCGCGAAGACCGTGACTTTTCTTCAAACGGTGAAAGCCGAGGAGAGGATCCTCAAGCAGAAGAAAGGAGATAAGTCGCGTTATTAAATTAGAAAACACTTGCTCACAAAGTAAAACGAGCTTCTTTAAACACTTCATATACATTAGTGTTTTTTTGTTTATGGAAATTTTATGCAGTAATTTTTACAGAAATTAAAGAGGAAAAAGTTAATAATACCGATAATTAAACTCCAAAATGGAACATTTGGGAACCTTATAAAATTACGAGTCGCAAGTACAAGAGTGTTCGACAAAATATTAAAATTATTATTTTTTATAATTTCAGTGCTATTGAATTTATTTGTTGACAAGTAAATACTTTAAAATATTTTAGAAGATTATGATTCATCAGGCTTTGATTTTGTCCCAGCTAGAAAATTTATAACAGCATTTTATTGGATTTCACGACTTTCACACGTAAGAATGTGAAGATGTCTCGAAATGACAATCCTCGGAAAGAAATTTCCAAAGAGAGAAAATGTGCATTTCTACTTTTCCGTTTTCTACAAAATTTCCAGAAAATTGTAGACCTGTTATATATCAAATCTCCAAAGCTTCAGTAACTTCACAGAAAAATCACAAGATCATCCACTTCCAGCTTCACGGACAATAATACTCAAAGAGTAGCCCAATACCTCTTGTTCCCCATTCGCCGACACGTCTTATGCCGACACGTCGCAGAGGGGCACAGTGCCAACGGTCGCAATTCCCCCGCGGTACCAAGCTGGTGGAGGAAGGAGGTCACCCGGTCACCCAGATGAGGTTCCTTGCCCGCCGTTTGTTGCCCCCTCGTTACGTCGCGTCGCGCATCGACGGTGGCCGTCCGGGGTGCCCCACCGACCACAACGGTCTTGACCAATCCTGTCCCCTGTTTTCGTACCGACCGCCGAACCGGTCGGCGATCCAACACTCGTGGAACCGGCGCCGTGTCCAGATTTAAGCTTCTTCTTTGCCGGGCAGGATCTCCGAAGATCTTCTCACTCGCGCGTTAGTTTAATTTTGAATCGTCCGTCATTCGCGCGGTCACAGCACCGCAATAGATCCCGATCATTCGACTGCTGCTCGATCAAGGGATCGAGCGCGATCGTAAAGGGAACGACTCAGTTGAACTAACAGCAATTTTGAGGAATACGCCATGGCTGTGAGAGCAACGATCCTGGTGCTGATGGTCACGTTGGTGGTCGTCGCGTCCGCTGGATTGCTCGGTGAGCTGTTTGAAGCAAATGTGATTAAGAAACGCTAGTGCGAAAATTCGGGTTCGCGCGGGTATACGCGCCGGAGATTTCAATGCGCCGACGCACGTGTTTGCCTGCATTGGCGCAACTACATTATTGTATCATTCACGTGATAAACGCGATTGCAAAAGAGATTATATGACCGGTTACTTTCTATTTGTTTGAAAAACGAAATGTAGATTGTCGTTTAATTCATCTTGCCATGAAGTAAAGCTAACTTGTGCCGTGAATACGATAGTTTATTGTTAGAATAATTCTTTTTACAGTGTTATTTGAAATCATATTGCTAACAGTTGTATTACAAAGAAAAGAAAGTTACTTACTTTTCTAATGCAATATATGCATTTAGAATTTTAAAAAGCAATTTTATATCTATTTTCTATTTTTAAACAGGTTAAACTTTTTAATATATATATTATTGATTACATATGATTTTCAAATTGTTAATCCATTTCGTGTACATTAAAAAATATTTTGGTAAGAGTTTCACGATAATAGTTTAAATTAGATCTTCGATCTCTAATTTCATTTTCTTATGCTACCCAATTCTAAGCTACCTTTGTCTCTATTGTCAATCGTCGTCCATAAAAGACTGACGAAAAGTGCCCTCAAAACTGTCATTCAGCCACTCGATCTCGACAATACGCGAGAAAGTACACCGATGGAAATCCACGCATTGGCACACTTATTAGCATCCAGGTGTAGTTCCTCGATCCATAAACATGGGTATAAACGTTTCAAATGTCACACTCTAATTCGTCATTTCTCCAAAGGAGAATCCACAGGAAACTTTTACGACGCGGCGGTGAAACGCGTAGAAATTTGGCTTCCATTTGACTTTCGATCGGCGGCACGACTTTCGTTTCGTTCCGATTTCTCTATTCCGAGTTTCTCTGCCACGCGCGTCCCTTATCTCTCTTACATATATGCGTACATATACACACACATGCGTTTCCTGTCCGCAGAGACCCTGCTCTCATGGGACTTGCCGGAGGTCGAGGCGAGATCGTCCACGTCGCAATCCAAGTGCCTGTGCCAGACTTCCGGTTGTCTCTGCTGCGTCGACCTAAACTTGACGGCCACTATTGATCTAGGTGGCCCAGCTTGCGTCAATATTAGGCAGAAAGAGCAGAATATCTCATTAAATTTGAGCTATGGCGATAATCCACTTCACAATGCGACGATAAGGATCGGCAAGTAGTCAAATCATAATAATAATAATAAAGGAATCTTATCTGTATTGAATTTTTAATTAACTTAATATTGTCTAATAACAATTTAAATTTAACACGTTGAATTAGATTAAAATTCAATTGAAAATATTAATATAACTTCACCGCGCATATTCAAAAGTTTTTTGTAATCTGTATTTTATATTTCTTCTTCTTCTTACGTTAGGCTTCTAGCCTGTGTTTTATATTTCGATTTATAAAAAATACAGATATTTTAATATTTATCTGTTAATGTCTACATTTTTTGTATCAGATAAATGGCACATTAATCGGACTAATCATTGGTTTTTTTTATTTTTGCAGCGAACGCAGCCAATAAACCGACATGCATGAATTTGTTGTCGGATTTGGCTCAGATTTGCGCGCGATTTACATCGGTGAAGCAATCTGATGTCGGTGGCTACGATGGTTGTATGGTAATCGAACCGGCTTTGTTGGGTGCACCGCAAGCCACATATCACATAGGATGCTTCAATTTCTATCAGGGTGTCCGACAAGTGGAGGTCTCCGCGTAAGTATCTCTGTGATCTAGTTGAAAGCATTTGAAATGCAAAAAATATCTCATATAAAAGAATATATAAAAGAATGTCTTGTTACTTCCTTTCGATCCTACGCAGCATCACAGAAACGACAGAGCCCGTTGATAACGCAGACGAAGAAGAGGACACTCTTAACACCGACGAGTTGATCGCTGCAGTATCCGCTAGCGCCGAGCAAGGTATCGCGTTGTTCACTCAATGGCTGGGTCTTAATCTGAATCCAAAACTGAATCTCACGAGCAAGGACAATGGACAACAAGACCATCAACAGCAAATAACGAATAATGAACGGACAGGACCCTCAATTGACGTGTCTTCGAGATCGGCCCGCAATATGGACGATGCTGTCCAAAACGAAAAAAGCGATGAGCGATTCAAGCAACTGTTGAGCGCTCAGGACAATGTCCTGAAAGGCTCAGCGACTATCGGACAATCTCACGGCGCGGAGACCACATTTGTTTACTCCAGACCAAGCGATCTAATGGCTGACAGAAACGCGACAGAAGAGGCCAAGAAGAAACTCGAAGCGGAAGCTGTGGTACCGCAACACCGGATCGTGGTACCAAAAGAGTCCAGGAGGGGTGGACGGGCATACAACATTCATCAACACGTCAATGAAATCTGAGTTTTGCCGTGTGATCGGTACCTCGTGCAGGAAATCGTCAACTCATTCTTTTAGAGCTAGAGTGCTGCACCTAGACTATTCTCGTATGTATGCACGCGGAGCTGGGTAATGGAGAGGAGGTTGTTACTTCATTTAATCGTCTCGCCCGTCGCGGTAATTTAATCTTTATGATCAGTACAAATCGTGATCCTCGATAATATCATTAAGGCTAATGCTGATAAATCAATGTATTGCAATTTGCGATATAATGAAGTAAAATGGGATTGCAACTTCGTACCATAGTTCAATCTTCGGTAGCTTAAATTCTCCGTCTCCCGAAAAATTCATCCCTGTATTTCCAAATACTATAGTGCATATAAAAGCGACATATTAACAATAGCATAATCGTTATATGTATTATAATACATGGAAATACTGAGATAAAAGTTTCTTCTTTTTAACATCAATCTGAGTAATTTTATTGTTTATTAATTATTTTAAAGTTTCTTAAATAGAACCTAAAATAGAACCTAAAAAGATAATTTTTGCAAGCTTTACTTGTATATTATTTTGTTAAATTAAAAGATTTTGATAAACCTTTCTACAACTTTTTCTTGCTTCGGTGCGTAGTTTTCCTATTGTTGCGATTTTATCCTATTCATTATACGTGCATCTCAATTATTTTATTCTCGCTCAGCTCCTCAAATATGATCTCCCGCGATTGTGATCAATGTTTGCTTGTCGATTTCATTCCAAAATCGTCGCTTTTCTTGCGATGATGTACTAATCTACAATAATCACTCACAAGATCTTGACTAAACGTATAACTGATCTTACGTTTTACTAAGAAATTAGTTGATCAATTGTTAATTAATTGATCAATAAATTATTTATTAAAAAAAAATTAAAAATAAATATTTGATGACTACTTCGAATTCCCAGAGATTAGGCGTTGTCTATCAATAATAACTTAGGCGTTTCTTATCGTACATATTACATGTTTCTTCCTCTTCAAGCTTGTCGTAATTTAAAAAAAAATACAACGACAGTTTCACGCCATCCGTGTACATACTATAAATTAGTATTTAAAAAATACGAAATGGTAAACGGAATGGGCAATACGACTGTCACAAGGATATTTAATTAATTCTGCGTGTGACACGGAAATAATAAATGAATAATAAAATATTCACACACTATATATATATATATATATATGTTAGTTCTGTTATTCATTATTTCGTTAGTTACGTTCCTTCTTCTTCTCCTTATACATACGTATAATACATATATCAATGACTAGCGTGCTTATTTGCTCGATCCGACTTTAACTGTAGAACCCCTCGATACTGGTCGTCGATAATATTGAGTGCTTTCCAGCAAGTCAAATACAGTGTAAGGGGCTCCACAAAATAAAAGGAATACACAGTGTGTATTCCACAATACATGATTTCTGATAGATTGAAATTCTTATTCTCTGTTCCTTTTATTGTGTGGAGCCCCTAACACAGTGAATCATTACATCCTTACTTTTTGACTACGTTAAAAAAGGACAAAACGATTCACTGTGTTACACAGTGTCTGACTGTATCCTTCCTGGAAAACACCCATTGTAATCTCTTTTGTATTTCTTCAAAGAACGTGCGGTATTATAATAGATTTTGTAATACAGCAGTGACTTTTATATCAAAATCGTCTTTCTTTATGTTATTTATTAATTTAAATATCAAACTGGAAAAGAAATAGTTAAATATTTTTTTTCAGATTTAAAAGAAATATAATTATAATAAATTCGGCAAATAGAGAATTAGCGCTGTAATACGTGCACAATAATTTCAATATTATTAAATTGTATATATATATATATATATCATATTTATTTATATATAATAATTAATCAATTAGTAATTAAAAACGTTTCACAGTTTAAATTAGACAAGACAGCAGTTTACTTTGATACTCTAATACAAACAATAATTTATTGCGAAGCTTTTTTAGTTACTAATTGACTGATTATTTATATCATTGACGTGTATCGGCAGTGGTTTAATGGAGGCACTTAATCAAGGTTGCATCATCCAGCTATAGTCAACTGGTTGCGTTTTCTCAAAGAAATGAAAATTGACCACCTCTCATGAAAACATTGGGGAGACTAAAAATAAGGAAAAACATGCGAGTACCATAGTCTAATCTTATACATCTCAACGCTTACTTTATCACATGGAATCATCTGTACGTATTGAGAATGGCTAAAAAGTTAGCCGAAACATGTATACAAGTTAATAATTAAAAAAAGAACAAAACGAAAAAGGGCTACGAGCCTAAAAAATAAACTTGTGGATGCGCAATCAATGCGAACAAATGATAAACACTATTCTGGTAGATCTAATGAAAGTGATCTACGGGAAGACTCATGCGATTGGTCAGAGCTAATTGCGCATTCCGCAAATTCCGTTCAATGGGACATAGGAAAACACATTTTAGCGGAACGGAATCGGCGGAATGAAGCCACGACCAATTACGAACGTTCCGCCAATTCCGCATTGCGCCAATTCTGCATTGCGCCAATTCTGCACCATGGGATCACGCCATTAGTGCGCACTCAGTTCACACCAACACTGGACGAGTTCCATGAATTGCACTAAATAGTGCAAGAACACGCCAAGATTTTCAGTGCTAAAGCTGAAGTGCCAGTTTCGAGTTGTAAGCAAGGGTGGGCCTCGCATCATGGACACAAGGCTTTAGACGGGCCAGATTTTTGACGCATGCGCGTCCAATGTAGCTTCAGTAACGTACCGATTACTAGTAAATAGGAGATCATTAATCGCCTATGTAAAATTTTTTCAACATTTTTGAAAAAATTTTACACAGGCGATTAATTACTACGTTTACACGGCACGCTTTACGCCGAAGTTATAACATCGATGTTATGAAACTGACCAATCACAGTCATTCCATTCTTCAGAGGAACAGCTATGATTGGCCAGTTTCATAACATTGATGTTATAACTTCGGCGTAAATCGAGCCGTGTAAACGTAGTCAATGATCCCCTATTTACTAGTAATCGGTAGGTTACTGAAGCTACATTGGACGCGCATGTGTCAGAAATCCGGCCCGTTTAACAACACTGACCTCTGCTACACGGTACGCTTAATCGGGTTTAATAACATCCGTAGTTATGAAATTGGCCAATCATAGTAGCTTTTCCTCGGGAGAATGGAATGATTGTGATTGGCCAGTTTCATAACTACGGATGTTATTAAACTCGATTAAGGGTGCCGTGTAAATGTAGTCACTGACAGTGAGCCCGGATCCTCATACGGGCAACAACGCTTTGACACAGAGCGTTAATTAGTGAAAAGCCGGTTGTGGGAGTAAAATTTACCCCCATCACCTGTTTTTCACCAACCAGCGTCCGGTTCAAAGCGCCGTATTAGGATCCGGGCTAATAGCAGAACAATTTTTCAGTACTGCTAGTGGCAATGTATATCGGAATCTTTGACTATAAACACATGGACTGCTAACACCTCATTTTTGCTATAGGAAATGCATATTCTCGGTGTCGCCGAACTGAAGTTGGCTGAAAATTGTTATGCTAGATTCACACTACATTTGCGTTGTACGACGCTCCGCAACCAATCAAAAAACAGGATTCCGATGTACCAAGCAAAAAATCCATCGGAATCCTGTTTTCCGATTGGTTGCAGAGCGTCGTACGACGCAAATCGGATGCAGTGTGAATCCAGCATT